TGTTCCTCCTCATTGCAGATCCATTTAAGATGGTTTGGGCCCGTCAGAGCATAACCTTGGGGCAAATCCAGAATCTGGTGAAGGAATCATACAGGAGGTGGAGAATCTCTCAAGAGTTTTATGAGTTTCCCAGTTGGACTTGCTACCTGATCGTGCATACTAAACACATCTTCAGTGTATATGATCCAGGATAAAAACCTTAAAACTAAATTGGTCTGATTTAAAATCAGTATTCTGGTACTGGATTTTTTGACAATCCAACATAATATCTGCAAAGTATACAGACTTAAACCTCTCCGTTTGGCTCACTTAATATAAAAGAGGTATATTTTAAATTAAAGTGACAGTTTTTTTTCTCCTCAGACTACCAAGCAGTAAGTAATGAATCTAAAGAGCTGAGCTGTTTTTCCATGAAGTTAAATTATTTTGTCGCATCTGGGTTTTATAAAAGTAACTAAACCAATTAAAGCCACATTAGCTATCAAGAGTATGAATGTTTTTTTTTTTTTGGTCATTAATAAAGACAATTTTGTGGTTTCCTCTGTGATACAAAAAAAAAAAAAGATTAAGCTTTATATTTGCAGTTTCCTTCAACAAACTTTCCTTGGGCTGCATATGCAACAACTTGTCCGCTACCAGGATCCTGCTACATGATCTCCAAAAATGCCAAAGACTTTGCCGTGAGCGTAACTCCCGACATTCAGTCAAATGTGTCGAGTGCATTTAAAGCGAGCGCTCAGACTGGCTCTACTGATGCAGTCCTCCCTCTGGCAGGCCTCACCTGGATGCTGTAAATCAGCTAGGATTTGTTGCCCATACACAAACACTCTACAGGGGCTGACCTCATGGGAGCCCCAGTGGTGTAGGATTTAAACAGATCTGCAAAATTCTGATTGACATTCAACAAAAAAAGGCAGAACTTCAAGTTTGTGGATTCTCAAATTAGGCCTGTAGATTAAAATAAAATAAAGGGGCAACATGAAGACCAGTTGAGCAATCAATGCTTAAAAGGTTTAAAATACAGGAGTGCTTTATTTATTTACACTCAACCACTGAATCTGAGAGCAGCGGTGCGTGGAGGTTAGACGCCAACTGCCAGAGGAGTAAAGCGACACTAGCTGTTCAGCTATTAGGCCAATTAACAAAGTGGTCAGAAGGGGCCGGGCAGCAGAGGAACAGCCTGAAATGGAGAGATGAGGGTGTGAAGTGACAGTCAGCACATCTGGTCTCATCAATAATGCAGCGGGCCTTTAAACGGCAGTTTGTCGCATGTTGAGCGGTGCTGGCTGAAATCAAGCCCGACACCCAAGAAGTGCCAGGGGAGAGTGGAGAGAGAAAAAGAAAAAAAAAAAGAGAGGGGTGAGGCTGCTTAGGATCCTGAAGTGGTAAAAAAATAAAAATAAAAAAATACACCCCTCTATTGTTTTAACATCTACATGTGATACTTTGTCGGAAAGAGCAAGGTGAGATTCAAGTTCAAAGTACCCAGAGGGATGAAGAGGAACATGGAGATGATAAGATCGACACAACTTTAGCATTTATGTAAGTTTTTTTTATTATCAAAATGAAAAAGACAAAATTCCCCCCCAAAAAAAGACAGCATCCGCTCTGCTTTACCTCTTAAACATGGAAACATTTTGACAGTGTTTCTATCTCAACAATGTCAACAATAATCCAACGTCTAAATTAAAACAAAACATGAAAATAAAACAAACCCCCGTCTTCAAATCTTTTAGAAACACTATCAGTGATCCAGCTGGAAGAAACCCTGTGAAAAGTTCATTTTCCTGTGATAAGAGGATTTCTGAGGACGACGATCACAGAGTCCCCTCTGAGGAACATTTTAGAAATGTAGCGGTCCTTGTTGACGGGCTTTGACTTCTTCTTTCCCTTCCCGCTTTTTGGAACCTCTGTCCACATCTCTTTCACATTCTCCAGGACCATGTTACAGTGCCTAGAAGGATGGTACAGACACAGATCATTAAAATAATATCCTCTGGAATATTCACAGGGAATTAAAACAGATCAAATGCACACTCAAATTTACACAATTGTGAGTTTAAGGGTAGATCAAGTACATGAAGGTTTGCAGAAAGTTCTGGATTTAACATAACCAACTGTTTCATCATGACTTGCTACAGTAAAACTGCTAAGAGGACAGAGAAAGTCAAACGGACTTCTTCATTAGTACCCCTCCCCCACCTGTTGCAATACATTACTGATCATAAGACAGCTCAAACATGATCTCTTTGCTTACAAGAAAAACTAATTTGGTTGATTAGAAACACCTTCAGCCATGAAAAGCACAGAAATACAGTGTAGAAATCAAACTACTGGTACAAAGGAAACAGTTTCTTAACAACACCTTGCAGCATTAGATAAATCAGCCAGCTGCAGACAAGCTGGACTAATACACTAATAAGAATTTAAACCTGCGATAAGGCTCCCACATTTGTCTATGGACGTCTGTGTCGACTGGAGGCAGACGGAGTAGAGCAAACCAAAATTTTGACGTGTCCCACTATGCCTCTAGGTGGGAAGTACTTCTTTCCAGGAACGAGTATTCAGATGGGACAGTTTTAAAATGCGACACCTAGCTGACACGGATCCCCAGGCGATAGATGACAAGTCACAACAAGGACCCAGAGCATCTCAGCCACCCTCTCTACCTCACAGGAAAGCCCACACAAACTTCTGATAAATATTTTGCCCCTTTTAAAAAAACAAACAAAAACTCCAACATAAGACATTTTAGAAATGTATGCTGACAAAAAACAAACAAACATAAAACTATATAAATATCAGTGACAAATGCTGTAATTATAGACAAACTTATATTGAGATATTGGAGATTTTTTTTTAAATGATTTGATCTTCATCAGATTTTTCACCTTTATCCCTAAAGGTCTGCAGATCTTGCACAATCCTTAAAACACTTTTTTTCAAGCAGACACAGTTTATACCCCAAAGCCTGTTTTGTGACTCAGCGAGTACCTGTCAAAAGCTTTGACTCTTCCAAGCAGCTTCTTGTTGTTTCGACAGTTGATGAGGACCTGAGTGTTGTTCTTCACCGACTGGGTGAGCACTGACAGCGGCCCAGTGTTAAACTCTTCCTCCTCACGTTTCTGGAGCTCCTCGGGGGTCATCTCCGATTTGGGTTTCGTCAACAGACTCCTGGAAAAGACAGCACACAGTAGCTGTTATTACAGACTAACTCGGAAGAATTGCTTTAATGTTGATATGGCAGAAATGTATAAAACTGAAAATGAAAAACAAAAAATGAACCCTTATGATTTTATAACCTAAAATACTTTGATATCATTCCATGTACTCTGTAAAAGATAGCAATTTTTACAGTAATCTGAACTGACCACTATGAAGTACTCACTGAAAATATTAGGAAAAGAAAAACAATAAAAAAAAAAGGAATAAAAAGGATAAATCTACACTCTTCAAACTTCTCCTACTGACTCCACACAATTTTTTCATCTGTCATTCCATGCCTCCATCTCTCTTTAACTTTTAACATTTGTGTTAGCTTTGGTATCCATTGAAGTGAGACTTGACAGCAAGATGAATAGATGTGTAATATGTTGAAATTCTAAGCCTTCCATACAGTTGAAATATAAAAGAAAACTATTATTTCAAACAGTCCTATCAGGTACTATTTGATACGGAATAATTTGCTAAACACTGTGAAGCCTTTAGATTTCCTGCTAGTGGAGCCTTGTATTCTCCACAGCTGTAACGACAACAACAATGATAAAAACACTGTTAAGTGCTGCACAAACAGCACTGAAAAATATCATCTTATGAATAATTACAAGTAACTGAAGCTAAATGCATTATAAAGAAATGCTATTAACAGTTAAAGTAGGAACATTTCACTCCCGTTGATGAGGGGCACATTTATCTTGGTTCGGTGCTGTTGCACCAAATTTCTGATTCATTTTCTGGCTTTAAGGGACATTCTAGATATAATTTGAAATTGGAAATGTTCATCTCTGGGGAAAAATGGAACAAACTTCAAGTAGTTGTGTTTTTATCAGCATGTCCACAGCTGTCATAAAAAAAATATATACAAAGTTTGACTGGCTCTCAACAAATATAGCAATCTCAAACAATCTCAACAAAAAGTGTTTCACTCTACTTCTGAAATTTAATAATAAAACAACATATCTTTCTCTCTCTCTCTATATATATATATCTATATAGATACATATATGTTAAAAATTACCTTTAAAGACCTTTTATCCAGCAAAACTGTGTTTAATTTGAAGACGAATGAATTCTTGTGAAAATATATGTCAGTAAAATAAAACTGAACATTGTGATTAAAATATAACTCGTAATAAATACACCAATAAGCTGTGTTAATATTAGGGCTGAACTATTTTGCCAAACAGGAAAATTGTAATTATTATAAAACAATATTCCAATGTTATTTGATTTGCCCTTGGACTAACCACAATCAAATAAATGTTTCAATAAAGGGTTGAGGATTTTTCATTATTATTCATTCCAAAGCCCATTTTTGCTGGACTTTACTGCAACCTTTGTGTAAAAAAGTGCTAAATTCTACTTGCAGGGATGAATCTGTGAGCTAGCTGCATCTTTCTCTCTTCTATCTGTGGTTGCAAACCTACTTTAACCATATTACTGCCACCTAAAGGGCTGGAATAAGAAATTTAGCTACTTAAATAAGTTTAAATAAATGTAATATGACCAAAATTGAGTGCCTCAGATTTGTAAATTGGTTTTTCTTAAGTTGCAATTATATTGCAAATGCGATTAATTGCCCAGCCCTAGCTCATATCAGACATAAACCTCAGATCTAAATAATTAAATAAAAAAAAAAAATGTAATTCCAGTATTTCCATTTTTTTAATCTAATGCAGCTTCTGATTGCTGTGTGCTTTTGACATTAAAACAACTTAAACCTAACTTGTAAACGCTTCCTAATGAGATGATAAAAAGACAACTTTACCTAAAATGATTTGTCTTCATTCAACAACCAGAGTCACCGAATTTAATTCAGGGGAAAACAGCCTGAATTCTTGGTACTAAAATAGATCCATTTAGCTAACAGTTATTGCAAGGTTGTTATTTATAAATATACACATTGTGTACAGAGATACTGAAATGATAGATTTGCCAAATATATCTGTCTATCTATATATATTTTGTTCAAGGTATTAACTTGCTTTTACTGCAGAACAGGACATAGAGAAAATAAGCTTTTGTTTCAATGGATAATGCTATCCGTTGCTGTTTTTAAGACAATCTCTCTTAATGTTTAAGGTACACATATGTACATCGTTGGATAAATATTTGTTAGTTTAACAGCATAAAAACTGACTCTTTTAAGACCAACATCACTGCACAGAGTTATAAAACGATTACATATGAGCTGGAGCTAACTAGCCTCTTTGCCGAAAAGGCTAAGCTAATGCTATTAGCATCAGAGGTAAGAGGTGAGAATTCGTAGCAAAGAGCGTGAAAGAGAAAAACTAAAGCGCTACACTGGAGGTATCTATCACACGTTTTACTTACATGACTGGTGTATTATAAAGTCGATTTTCCTAATATTTACAGAGCTTTTCTTCACCAGAACCTCCGTAACGGCAACGATTCAGCCAGGCTCGCGTGCTCAGAGTCACTTCCGGGTTAATTCGTACGCGCTTGAAGTAGTTTACAACTACCGGGTTACTACGGATCGTGTCAAAAACATAATCGCCTTTCATTTTTTTCACCGTACGTTGCTCTTTGGTGGCAAGAAATTAATGTTTTGTTTAGTGTATTCAGTTTAATTCAATAAAACACAACGCATTGATGTAACAGCCAAAACCGCGAATGAAAAGGAGCAGAAAGAAGTAAAACCATATTTACAAAGAAAGGGTAAAATCCCCGTTAAAAAAATATTACTTAATTATATTACTTAATTAACTCGAGGACATTCCACGACTGTAAAGAATAACCCACAATATTTATTACATGCATACAACAATAATAGATTAGTTCACTAAGTTAGAGTTTAGACTCTGAAATAATCATCACCTTTGTTAGAAATACATATTACTTTTAAGTTGAATTAACTTTCTCTTTTTCAAAATATATTTTGAATATGGTTTGATATGATTTTTTACGTGTCATATACACACATTTAAAACATACTCTATTAATGAAATAAGTTTAAATCTGTTTAACTGTAATGGATTTGCATGAGATTTGTATCCTCCACTTATAGTTATTACTGCTGTCTTCTTTAAAAAAAAGCTTACTGATTTTAAATGTGTTCAGTAACCTTTCAACCACACCTCCACACAAGAGTTCAAATATGGTACAATCAGTGAATTGTACAAAATATACAAAGCCTTTTCATTTAGGAATTCCTTCATTTTAGATAACAATTTTGTGGATGTTTCTTCCACTGCCACATTTATATGCTAATATAGTAATATTAATATGCACATTTATTTAAAATAATTTAAAATAATCTTTTTATTTGTTATCATATAAACTTTTTATTAAATGTTAATAGTAGTTGTCTTGAAGATTTTCTAATATACCCAACAACACTGATTCCAGAGGTGAGTAGAGTAGCCAAAAATCAAGCGGCGCTACTTTAATGTAACTTTACTCAGGCAAAAAGCAGCCATCCAAAATTTACCAAAAAAGAGTAAAACACTTTTTTGAGTGGAAATTTGTAGCTATTTAATTAGTGAAAAGGATGTAAGCGTAAATAATACTGTCTTTAGAGTATTATAAAGGATTACAAAATAACACATTTGGACAGAAAAAACACATTTCCAAATCAGTTTTTTTTCCAACACAAAAAGCATTTCAGACCAATGCTTAACAGATCATGTAAAAGAGTGAGGACAACAGGGTCAGAAGACCGACAATAGGAAGCTTAGAAGAACAGCTCTGTCCCTTCAGAGCTGTTCTTAAAAGTTTTTCTTAAATGGCTTTCCAATAAAAAAAAAAAAAAAATGTCTCCTTCCACTCAGGTGTGACTGGCCTTTTCTTCCTTTGTATCTTCAGTTATCTCCATCCTTTTATCACTTCTCCTTCCACTTGTGTTCTTTTTCACAATCTATTCACTTCTTGTTTGAATTTTTGGAACTCTATTATTTTTGTCCTTCCAAAAATCCTTCATAAATTACAACTAGTCCAAAACTAAGCCACAGCCTTGCTGCTCCATAACTTTCTGACCCCCTTCACATTGCTACATCTTACTGTCTTCCCCCCAGCTTTTTATTGTCATTACACTGTCAGTACAGAGCAACGAAATGAACTCTCTGCATTTAACCCATCCCCTTGGGGAGCAGTGGGTTGACATTGTGCAGGGCCCAGGGAGCATTGTGTGGGTTAAAGGTCTTTGCTCAGCGTGGCAGTTCGTCGGAGTGGGACTCGAACTCAGAACCCTCAGGATTCCAAGCTATGCCCTAGCAAACGGTCACCAGGACGGGTGACTTACCACTTGAGCTCACGTCGTAGCTTTGCATGTCTTGTTGCCACGGAGATGATCTTTGTAATGATCTTTGTAACACAAACTCATCTTCAATCCATTCACTTTTTTGATTCAAATTCCAAACTGATCTTTTAAACTAGTTTAATCCCTTTGATCAATACTGCAATTATTATTTAAAATTACATGTTATATTCCTATTTATCTTCTTATTTTGTCTGTTTTTATATATTGATGATATAAAGTGCCATTGAGTGTCAAAAAGGAGCCTATAAATAGAATTAATATTAAAAAAATGATAACAAAAATTCTACCTGTGGAAATGTACCTACCCATCCCTCAGTCTAAATAAGAATATTAATTCTGATTGTTAGATTGCAAATAAGTTTAGAAAACAACTTTCAGTATACTATAAGTCCACATTCTAGTATCTCAAATGTTTTTTATTCGTCTGATGGAGTATTCAAATCTTAAAAGCTTTTTCTTAGTGTCAATTTGTCAAAAGTCACTGAAATAATTAGGATTTTCAATAACATACATATTTTATTAAATATGACGTACTTGATATATAGATTCCTGAATGTTTATATATTGAAGACCAGAAATATATATATTTTAAAGACATGAAGTAGTGTATAAATGCATTATTACTACAATAAACTTCTAGTACAAGGTTAGTCTACACAGTGTAAAACATTTAACAATGTGGAATAACCGGGTTCAGAAATTAACATTTAAAAATCCCAAATCATTGCTTGCCATTTTATAAACCTGCAATAAACACAGAATAATAATTTCTCATCCTTCACATTTTTTCTTATGTTCTACCAAATTATGTCCAAACCTTCTTTCATATATTCTCTTCACCCATCAGGTTTTCTGTAGTATTTAGATCTGAGGTCTGAAATAAAACCATAACAACTGCAAATGACTGATTAATGTATTATTTTTGGTAACATATGACGGATATTATGAGTTCACGCTCAAAATAATTGAACAGTAGGATGAACTCTAATTCACCTTATAGGCAACACTGGATCTATGGCTCTAGTGGCTGAGATGCTAAAGCTAGCAGAGAATGGTGGGGATTGTTAATGGTAATAAAAGAAAGGAGAGAAAAATGTGCCTTAATCATAATCAACACTATTATCATCCTTTCCAGCAATAGTGTCTCAATTACTTTTTTGGTATTGTCTACCCTGTATTTTGAGTTTTATAGGCAAAAGCAATTTTAATTTTGAATCATAACTCTGCTTAAAGATCGTTTGCTGACCTTTTTTTCAACTTTCTGATAGAGTCCACTAGATATTTTCTTGAGTTTATGTTTTAAAGCGTGAAGGATGTCAAGAGATTCCCCAACTCTCTGGAGGAGAAAAAAGATCCGCCGTCACATTTAACAGTAGGCAGGAGGTGCTTCTAATATATCTTTACTTTGTGGCACATCACACCCACATGGAGCATCTAATCTGATAACACTTTGGCCTTATCTGACTAAACTATCAAAGATGTATTCAGAATGAAATTAGTACTTAAGAACTATGTTCAAACAACAAATAAATGTGAGTCCTTGGTAGAGGTGTTCTTTCTCTACCAGATATAATGTTTAATGGACAAAAAAAGTGTATTTCCATACACCAAAGTTTAAAGGGTATGAATACTTTTGCAAGAGACTGTAAATGTGTCAGAATCTCAGAATCAAAAGTTGTATTTTTTGTCTTTTAGTATTAAGATGCTACTACAATAAAATATGAATCGTATTTTGAGACCATGAGATATTTTTACAGGGAGCGTTTAAATGTGACAAAGGATTTTTAATATGAAATGTTAGAAAACACAAATCAGAGTTTGATGCCGATTCTTACAGTAAAATAAAGCCCAAGCAAAAGAGAGGTGTGTAAAGTGAAATAGATAAGGAACATTTTTATTTATCATAATATTTAGATGTATGATGAAAGATAAATGAATTTTAATCTTTTGTGATAAAAAAACTCTTTTTTTAATAACCATTCTATTTTTTTTTATTTTAGTTGATTCTCAAGAGGATATTCTTCAATAAAATCATTATGCTATAAGTAGGAGTGATGTGCCAAATAAAACTGCGGAGATCTTCAAGGTAATCTAGAATTTTGACATTTTATTACAGATTTTGTGCTCTGAATTTAACAGGTATGTATGTTTCAGATTAAGAAGACAGAAAAACATCTTTCTTGTCTAATTCCATTTCCTTTATAGTTGGTTGAAATTAATATGAATAAAGGTGTTATGAACAAATGTTTCCTGCTTGCAAACAAACCGGTGGAAATAAATGAGGCTGAGAAAGCCTCATTTGTCTGATACCACAGACCGAACAGTTAAGTCTTTGTTATGCTTTTCTTAACAAGGTAACAGGAAAATGTTAATGTGAACGTGTCTGTTAGAGAGAGTGCGAGAAACGAGGATGTATGCGACGATTCTGCAATGAGACTAAGAGATTGGCTTTCTGGCAAGAGACAGACAGACGCCTATGGGTGCACAACCCACCCACCTTGTTCCAAAGGTTACACATCTACCTGAGGAAATCACTTGCTCCAGATAAAGGCATCCTGTGTGTTGCTGAGAGAGGTGAGCGTGTCGGATTGATTTCCACGGTGCACGGTCCTATACCTTTGTGAAACGCACCTTAGCCAAGAGACTTCAGTCTGAGGCTGAGGAGAAAAAAAAAGAAGCTCAGCGTTTTCTTACAGCTAATGGGACAGCAAGAGCTAATCTGGAAGCACTTTGTAGCTGCCTAATTAAGAGAGCAACAAGCATTAAATCAGATGTGCAAGACAAAGATGCATGCACCAGGCTTATCACTATGAAATAACAAGGAAAACACACAAGATTCATTTCAAAACTGGTTACTGTCAGAAAAATTAAATCATACAACCCTTCTTTGTTAAGCACAGATTTGGTTAAATATACACTCACTGTCACAACATGTTTGTTTAGGGTTAGGGATTGTTGCAAAGTCTTTTCCTCCACTAAACAGCTTACTTTTTTTTACAAACAAGAATTGCATGAATTTATTGCTTTATTCTAGTTAGAATATATTCATTTATTTTATTTTAACTTGAGCAAATTAGATTTTCATGGCTGCACCATGTTGCAGTTATGTCATGGGTTTGAAACCTGTACAAGGCCTCTTCAGAGGATGAAGGAATGTGAATTTTCCCTGGGTACTCCTGCTTCCTGCCACCGTCCAAATACCTGCAGCATCCAATTTAAAGTTCTATTTGCACAAAATATTGAAAACTTTGTACTTCCTTTCACAAAAATCTGAATAAAACATTGATTTCTGAGATTGCATCATGGAAATGGTACCTAAAAAAAAGGTGTTGGGAAACAGACGCTTTTGCAAGTAGAACAACACATTCTCCTTCTGTCGCTCAGGGAGCAACTTTCAGTGCGCAACATTTTGCTGAATTTACGCGCGCAACTTTCAGCTCACTGTAAGCGCAACCATCAGTACTGAGCTCTGTCAAATCAAATGGGAAAGAATTATTACCTCTGTATTGATATTTATCAGGAAACTTGTCAAAGTCTCATTGCAGCTGATTACGCATATAAATAATTATTTTATTCTAATTCTATCCTCCTCATCTCTTCCCGCCTCCAAGATTATTCATATCACCAATGAAAATATGCATCTTTCTATATAGACAGCATGCTTGGCAACAAGGAAGTTACCTGATCCTGCCCCGTCTGCCTTTAACCACAGAGCGACTATGACTGACGGGCTGATGTCTCTCAGCATAAAGGAGCTTTTGTTTAAAGATGAGGCAGTCGTCCAGAGAGAGGTGCTCTAATCTGTTTCCCCATAGATCTTATTTGTTTTTTTTTGTATTAATTTGTGGAGGAGCGGCGGCGGAGGGAAGGTGAGGGAAAGTTTAACAGGCAGGGATAGAAACACCGGACTGATCAAGGAGACATGCGCCATTATAAATAAAGTCTTTACACTGTTTTAGTAACATCTAAGAAAAAAAAAGAAGTCATCATAATCATCATCATCATAGACAAGCATTCCTTTTACAATCTCCTGTTGATGTATTTTATTTTACTCTAAACGTGTAATTCAGTTAATCCATTTTCCTTTTGCGCGCTCAAATCTCCTGAGAGAAACGCTTAATATCGCAGCCAAATAAGAACAATCAACAACAGTATAAGGCTTTAATGAGGAGGAAAGAAAACACAATTTAAAATGCATTATTTATCGTTTAATTACATGTAAAGTAATTAAAATATAGGAATGCAATATATTTCTTTTTAGTCGCAACAATGAAGAAACCCAATAAGGTTAGCAAATGAACAATTCTGATTTCCTGATGTTTACACAATCAGTAATTTTTTTAATGAACAATCCTGCTGGCACTTCTGATTTATTCGATTATTTTTTGTTAAGTAATGTATCTATATTTATTAATTTTACCTGCTGCTTTAAAAAAAATTGGACCTAAAATATATGAGGGAACAAAATGGAATCACAAGTGAAAAATTTCCTCATTGATAGTCGTTTTGCTATGACATATAGACACCTTAATAACATGCGCACAAAAAGATAGGCCATATACAGCAAACAAATTGGTGGAAAAACAATAAGAGACAATAAATTAACAGGAAATATGACAGTTTTTATATTTGTGCCGTTTCATTTGTCTAATTTATGTTTTATCAAATAGATTTTTGCGCATTTGTTGGAACTTTTGATACAAAAAAAAAATCGTAAATCAGCATTTGAGAATGGGGTAACTGCAATTGGCCTCTTTTTACAACAATCTGCATGGCATAAAAACATTTCTAAGGTGAATTTTAATCCTCCTGTATACAATAACAGATAAAAAGTATGATATTGGTCCATAACAACATTATCAGGCTATGCAAGTTTAGACGTTTGATTTCGTTAGATTTTCCTCCTAAATGCTACATTCATGTTCTTTATATTTAAAAGTTTTTTCATACTCCAAAAGGAGGACTTGGACCGACTTGAGGGCAGTAATTTGGAAAGTCAGTCGAGCATCCTCCAGGTTCTGAGTGTCCACTCTTGGATAAAAGCTGTCCCATCTTGGAAGGGCCGCACTCCTCTAGACACGGACTAAATGCAGCTGCGCATGGGATTTGGTGGGAGTAAAAGTAGCTGGCCTGTCCGGAGATCATGTTAAATGAACACGGGTCTGACAGCGGCAGGGTGCACGCGGGGATGGAAGTGGCGGAGAAGGATGCGCAAGCGGAGCCGATCTGATGGCGACGGGGCTGCGCGCAGCTCACCCCAATGTAGGACATCTCTTGGCGAGTCCGCACGAAGCGCTCCGTGTCAGGGGCGCACGCGCTCAGTCGGACTCTCTGAGAAACCACCGGGGAAGCGTGGTTGGACAGGCGCGGCTGGCCCCGCATGTAGGTCCCCGCGCTGATGTGGGCGCGCACCGGTGCTTGGAGAGGCAGGAACGGCGGAACCGGCCAGTAAAATGAGCTCGCTGCGGCTAAGGTAACGCTGGCTGCCGTGTTTGGGGGCATCAGTCGACCCCCTCCACCTCTCCTCAAACCAAGTTTGCTTCTTGAACTTGCGGCGGCTCTGCGTCGGAGCTTCCCAGACGTTCCTCCGATAAACACGTCGTCGCTGCAGGGGTCCAGCATCCAGTAGTTGCCCTTACCGGGGTCGTCGTAGTGTCGCGGCACCTTAACAAAACACTTGTTCAGACTCAAGTTGTGTCTGATGGAGTTTTGCCAGCCCTGTCTGTTCTGTCGGTAGTAAGGAAAGTTGTTCATGATGAATTCGTAGATGCCGTTGAGGGTGAGCCGTCGCTCTGGACTTTGGCGGATCGCCATCATGATGAGCGCGTTGTAACTAAACGGAGGTTTCTCAGGCTTCACGCTTTCTTCTTCTCCCGTTTTCTTTGTTTCCCTCTTATTTTCCTCTCGTTTCGGTGCTTTGATGTCTGGTTTGGAACTCCGCTTGGATTGTTCGCAGCTCTCGTCTCTGTCAAAGTTCTCCTCTTGGTTAGTTTTCTCAGAACGCAGGGAAGGAGAAGAAGGGGACTCCTGGTCACCCATCATCTCTTCTTTTCTCCACAGCAAACTGCTGATGCTGAAAGAAGACTTGTGAAATAATCGGGCCGGAGTTTTGAAATCTTCCATCTCCATCTGTGCGCGCAGTCAGTGCCTGCAGCCAAGCTGAAGGTGAAACTGCATCACCGCGCGTAAAGCGCGAGGATGAGCTCATTCAAAGGTGGTGACGAGCGAAGGACGAGCTGACCAAAACTTGGCAACACATGCGCACGATTGCAGCGGCTCAGGCAAAGCTGGCCCTAGGTATAAGTAAACTAAGTAGATAGTTACCAGAATGCTGCTATTTAAATAATTCCATTTAACAATTTCCGAAATGTTTAATTTTCAAGAAATTAAGTTTAAATCTATATTTAGCATAAATACTACAACAAAAGTACAATCTGTCTTCGTGTTTTGATAATTATGATAACCTCCATTTATTAAAGTTTTCTCATTTCTATTACTTATATCACATTTTCTGCTTTCTGGCCCAGTCATAGATGCAGATCCTGGGGGTGCCCAGATTCAAATCTACAGGAAAGAAAGAAACTGCGTTTTCCTCAATCTCTTTTTAAAAACATCCAATGTTTTTAACGATATTATAGAGCAGCATATTGGTCCCTTCTGATTTGTGGTCCAACTGGTTTTGCTTTAAAACCAGTGCATGTCTGTCTGACTCAAGAACCAGACAGGGCAACTATGAGACAAAAATGCTGATCAAAAGAAGTCAAATTTATGCTTCACTTGTTATGGTCCTTAAGACTTGAAGGTAACATCTGGTGTAAAAAGAGTAGTAGTGAAACAGTGGTCGCAGTGTATGGGCCTAGGCTAGATCATGAGTTCTAGCCTTCAGGACTATGATGCACATATGTTTTTTTAGTGGCCCGGTAAATCTGAACTGAAGTCAGTTGTGACATGACAAGATAATAACAAGTAATATAATGAAGAGTGGGTCAAACAAAGAGAGTGATTTTAAGACCTGCTGCCAGTTGGTTGCAGTTTCTGTGTGGCACTGCTAGGTTGAAGGCTTAGGGGGAAGCTGTTTGACTAGGTGAGGTTGGTTTGGATAGCTTTTTAACCTTCATAGGTTATAGAATTCAGCAATTGCATTTTTATCAGTTAATACAGTAGACGTTAGACTGCATAGATGCCAACTACATTGTGTTGGTTTGTATTTGTGACAGTGTAATGACAACCCAATATCTTCACAGGTCTGTTTTGGTTTAGGGTTTATAAATCATGTTATATTTCATTAGAGAAAAGACGAAGGCTTGCATTACTACATTACCCAATTTGGAGGAGTAGTTTGGGGTGCCATTGTTGTTGTAACTAACACCTCAAACTCGGTTCCAATGCTAGTGAAAAAACAATATTATTTTTCAATTCCGCTGCAGATTCTTTTTAAAGACGAGGTTATTTTTGGTTAGGAGCAAAAAAAATTCATCATTATGTCAAAAATATTGAAATAATTTCTTAATTATGGCAAAACCAGTATAAACTGATAAATATCTGGGGGATTGAAACAGAGAGAGATAAAAACAAATAAAGGTTATGTTGTCACTCATTAATCTAGGAACAGTGTAAACTCATTTTGGTCTGTGAAGTTTTTTTTCAAACTTGTGCTGTACAGTTGGTTTAAATTTGATGATCTCCAGGATAACAAAGTTATATAGACAAACCTTATCCCGCATTTTAATACTCCTATATATAAATCACCAGTGGTGCATATTGCTCAACAACTTCTGCACTAACATCTGCTTCCCGTTATGATAAATGAGCCCCAGTGAAGCAATTTTCAAATAAATCTCAACAAACAGTTTCTGATTTATTTTGATCGCTTCAGAAAGTGTCATTTAAACGTTGTCTCTTTCTTCTTGACTCTGAAAAAACTTCCATGCCACATCACAGCAGTACTGAATTATCACACATATACATGCAAACATAAAACGTACTATTGATCAAATAAATAATTGTGAAACTGATTAGATTGTTAGACAGAAAAAAATAACATTTATACACCTAATTTAAGGTGTTTCCCACATTTAGCGCACATGGTGCTAAATGAACAAATCTCAGATAATCCTACAAGATACAAGGGCTGCTTTGGTAATTGCAAACTATTAAACTATTAAAAATATAACTATTATATATAAACTATTATTCTTATTTATGTTTACCCATTTTGCAAACATGTTAATCGTCAAAAGTATCCAACACAACACAACACCAAGCACAAGTTTCACCCAAACTATGTTACACCAGACACTATAACCTGAAGAGAAATAAAGGTTCATGCTGTCAGTCTGTATGACTGATTGGTGAACTCTTAGGTGCAATTATAACAGTTCTACTTAGCTGAAATTCAACCCCGTACACCCTCCTCTCCCTCTGGGCTGGCCTCACCTTCTCCTTACTTTTCCATTAATCTCTGCACATCAGAGGTTGGCAAAATAGTTGGGTGTAGTATGCATAACCCTAACATAAACAACAAAAAGGAAAACAAACTGTTTTTCAGGAAGCCAGATTATGATATACGAGATAGAAACTGAGAAAATTAGAC